AGAAATCAAGTGAGCGCGCATTCGCATTTATGCTAGGGTCTAGCCCATCCCGCAACTGTTATCAAGAGTGGTTTCCGTGAACGTAGTTCAGTTTTTTTAATTCTTTCATTTGAGGTAGCGCGCACGATTCTGCGGGCCACAGAACAACGACGTGAACTTGTAGCATCTGAGAAACGTGAACATAGTACAGCCAAAATGATGATTTTCGTCGTCATAGGTACGTCCATCGATCGATAATCGATTCAGACAGAATGAATTCATGACCTTTTACAGTATTCCTTGTGTGCTACACGTTCTCATTCATTCTCAACGTCGCCGAGATACTATTTTCGGCGTTGTTTCGACATCCAATAGGATACTTATTGAATGATATCAATAATATACTGGTAGTAGTGAACACATCATCGCCCTTTATGTTCTATGTGAAATACTCAACGAGGTGGGTTGAAGCTTCCAATTTCAGCGCCTCATTTTCAGAGTAGGAGTGTTGTGTTCCAATCTTTCTGAAATGAAATCACTCATCCGATTCTATTTGAAACCCCATATCGTATTGGGTAGCGTTCAGACATTGCGATAGCGCGCGTCGACGCGCCACGACTCGCTTAATTACACCACCTGGTATCCATCGCAGTCTGAACTCTGTCCTAGCTTTTGAATGAGTGTTGAGCTCGAAAAACCACTGAGAAGATGGTCCCTCGCGGATCACCTTTGCTATATGTATAGTTCTACCACGGAGACAAAAGATACATACAGTAAAGGTGATCCAGTTTTTCGTGCTGGCTAGTCCCGTTTTCATTCATCCCTGTTCCAAGCTGAAGAAGGCGTGCTCACTCCTTAACGCGCGATACGAGGCGCCGTATCGCGCGTCAAGCAGTGAGCACGCCGCGAAGTCGCCACGTTCAAACAATTAGGTCCTGGCACCACTTCTACTGGGTTCAGTGCTCCAGTAACAGGATACAGCATCAAGATGGGTTGTTCTCCTATTCTGTACGAATTCTGCGAAAAATTTTTCGAATTTTCCCGAAAAAATTTTCAAATTTTCCCGAAAAAGGGCGAGAGCGGTGGGAGAGGGAAGATCCTTTCCAATCAATCGATAGAAAACTAGGTTACACGGTACTTTCCCGTTGCAGCTAGAAAAACTGGCAACGTGGGATATTTTCCCTCGTGGCTCGGAAAACTTTTCTCAAGGCCAAATACGATCCTCCTACTCGAGATATGGCCAGGACAATCGTAACTTATCCTCCATCGCGAGTTTCCATTGATTGACCCGATTGGAGCACCATATTTCACGCAGACTACGAAATTGAAAACACTTATAGCAGTTTTGTTCGACAGATTGCTACTGTAACTTTCTATGACCTGAAAAACATCGTCATTTGCGGGCGTGACGTCGCACGCGACCAACGGAATTACGATTGTCTTGTCACATATTCTCCTTCCTACCGATCAAGTACTACCTTTTGATGGATTCTCCCAGTGCTGCATCCTATCCCATCCCCCTTTCTCTGCGCTGCCTCAGAATTCCTAGCCGACACCCAAAAGAGCTGGGTACCTGGAATGCCAGGGATTATTTCTTATTTGACTTCAAGTTGAGAGTCTTACGAACTCTTTCAGATATCGCAATCAGCTTCGTACGATATATGGTATTCGATGGATATGTGCACGGTTGAAATTCACCAAACGGAAGCGAAAGCAGAAACGATCTAACGAACGCCTGGGCCCCCTCAATATTCGGGGTAAAATCGTTCGAGAAGTGCCGACTTGCATAACAAGTATAGGTTAGCCTTTTTTAGTAAGCCGATTGAGGCGCCGTCGCCGAACTGTACATTCCTGTTGATTTTGAATGAAATTTTGAATGAATCTTTATTCCAGAGAACGGATTTACGGTGCTAGAGGAAAACACGACAAAGGAAAAATCATGAGGATTTCCGTCTACAGTTGTTTTTCATTTCATCAAACTGCCACTGTAAAGGAAAGGATGCGATTAGGACCAGAATACAATAAGCTGACGCAACACGGAGTCGAACCATTAGGTAGCGTTCAGACTTCGCGATGACGCGCATTGACGCGCCGCAACGCGCCACCATTGCAGCAGCGCTCTAATCCTATAGTTGCGAATGGAAATCGATCGGCGCCGCTCCAGCGGCCAGTGCCGGTCAATACCAGACAGCGTAATTGGACCATGCGTACCTTCCAATTCTTCCATACCCTCTTGACCTACAAGCGCCGCCGATTGATTAACGTCTGCGGTTGCGTCTATAGGGTTGGAACGCTGTTGTTGTAGCGCGTTACAGCGCGTCGACGCGTCATCGAACGCTCCATTATTTACGGCACAGCATGAGTTATATCATTTTTGCTCTCTGTCACAAGATCTTTATTTGGTCATCAGGTTATGGTCATCTTTATTTTCTGTCATATTTCGTGCCATATAGACTGATCTGTGCAGTTGATATCGTTGCAATTAGTTGAGGCGGCTATAAGAGGCCTGAAATGAGCCCACACGAATCGTTTACTGCCGGCTGCTTTCTTCCGGAATCAATAGTTCACCGATAACTACGGGTAGAAACAGTCAGGGGCGGACCCATTCTACCCCTCCTGACAACGCCAGACTGATTGCAGCGGTATCATCCATATCTTCATTTCATGTCTACATTTTTCGGGTATCTCTTGAATCGACTTATTTGCGGGATGTCTTGCTAATGAACTTATTTTCTGTATTTGTACAACGCACATGCATACCTACCCGCGAGGGTGGGCTGAAGATGAAAAGTTGTTCACAGAAAATTGTCGAAAAACTCATTTTCCCAGAGTGACAGCTGAGTATTGTGGCCAAGTTCGGACTTTGATCTCAACTCTTCAAGAGCCCTTAAACCGACATGCGTGGGCTCCAAGGGCGATTCAATTATAGGGTCGGGTGGTGAGAAAAAACCATAACGACGTTATGCAAACAGCTGGATGCTGATGCCCAACAAGCTTAGAAAGGCATTCTTGAGGGATCAGAACGTGGGTGAACCCACAGTAGAAGCTCCACAGCTCTTCCTGGCTGACAACAATACTGTGCTAGTTTCCTGCTAGTTCCTGAGTTTGTGAGCCACGATGGCTACACCTTCTCGCGGCAGTGGAAGCAGCTATCGAGGAGTCGGGCTTGCCCAAGAACATCCCAACTGCAGGTTATCAATGGTCTCTCATGTCGTAATCATGTGGAATGTGCTCTTCGAAGTGGGCGATATCTGCGCCGTGTCTTCCTTTGCTATCCTTTCTTCCAGTACTTATGACTGCATAAGATTTGCGGACAATGGTAAAAGGACAAAGCATTCCCATGTGTCAATCCCATTTTGAGACGGATTAGGCATTCTCCTTCTGTCCAGAATATCAATTACTCTCTGAATACAATATGGCCTACACAAGCATGCGGAGCCAGATGATGTACAAACTAGTGTTCTTTATCCTTCACGCGAGCCCATTCCCAGTTCACAGTTCCGGAGGTAGGAGGAGAAGGCGTAGTTAGCCCGGCCGGCACCCTATTCAGAATTGACCTTCAAATAAGGCGCGGCAGTGAGCGAGTCTTTGAACAATGCTTTATAGCAAACAATGCTTTATGGAAGACTTTGGAAAGAAATATTGAATAATCTAATTTCTGGATACGCTATGCAATTAACTTCTTCTCATAGTTGTGGCTCCCTTTGTGGGTATATCCCTGCCTACAACTCGAGAAAATCATTTGAAGGCAAAACCTGCGTTAAATACTCGGGGTTGTGGGACCTTAAATAGGGATGTCAAGGTGCTCAGAAAGTTAGAGAAGGGAAAAAAGTAAAGAAAAGTCACTAATGCCCCAAATTGAACCCCCTAGCGAAAGCATTTTTACGAGCAGAGAGCAAAAAAGGGTGTGGCTGGGTGAGATCACCGGACAGTGGTGTTGCGGTCGACATAGTCACCACAACTGATCCCAGCTGATTTCCTATTGACAAGAATGTCCGCTGCCTATGTTTTTTTGCAGGTCTCTGTTATTGTGGCATGAGAACAGCGATGGGCGGCACCAATGAAGGTGGGTCGGGTCGGACCCTTCTCTCTCACCTTTGCACTACGAAAGTGGTGCAATCACTGTCTCTGCGGACCAGTTTACACGCTCACGGAGAAGCGGGACATCTCAACTGATCTCAAGCACAGCCTCTAGCAGGAATCCTTCGTCCCGAGCGTCACGATAGGGTAGAAACCAATTTTCTTTGACATGTATTTTTCGGAAGTGGGATGCTTGCAAAGAAAGATATGGTCAAATTGAGTCAACGATTTTGAATGTAGAGCGCTGGGTGCCGACAAGGCACCGGCTCTAAAAGAATTGGAGGAAAAAGACCTTTTGTGAATATTACTCCGAGCAATCTCTGTTGACCGGTCTATGAAAAGTGCTCTTAGGTATAGATTTGGTGAGTAAAAGTGATGATGGCAGTGGATATGTTTTTCCTGTGGTAATCCAATCCACCTACTATCCCCTGTTACATTCTGTTCTCCTTGTTTTGTTTACAGCATGGCACAAATGACTGCACACAATTTTTTTCCCATTTATCAGATTTCCTGATCAGAAACGTTGCAAAAGCATAAGAGGGGACATCTTACTAAATCCGCGGAGACACTCTTGTGAACCCGAACTCGAACTTGGATCTGTAAACCCGTGTGAAGCCGATGCAGTAGTACACAATGAAGCCCATACCATTCAGGGTTTACAAGAGCTGGGAAGTCCCAGGAAGTCGCCAAGGTAAAGAATCTCGAGAAACAAACCAACTTGCGATAGGCGAGTCCAGCTCACGGGTGGGGGGGGCTAGGTCATCTTCGCGTCATGTGCCTTGTGGTTAGCACCTTCAAGGCGCGACAGCTCAACATGCTTAGAGTGCTGACGGCCCCTCTCTGTGCAACGAAAAGCATCTACACGTGGGTTGAGCGTACGCTGTCTCTCACCTAACCTGTGATTAAGACTAATCAAGACTCCAGTCCAAAAATAAGGTGGAAAGCTCTAAGAATGTGAGAGTTTTCATATTCTTATGACGGACCGCCATTCAAACATATCCCACCTAGCAATGTGGGAATGATCCTTTCCCTTTCCCTCCCGGAGTCTCTCGCCTGGTATCTGGCACAATCTCCTTTCTCACCCTACCCACCGTTAATCTGAATTTCCTTGGCTCCCTTTGGAATCTGAGTTTGGTTTTCTTGGTTGTTCAAGAAGATTTATAGTATTTCTCCAAAAGAAGACTGCTATCGAGCGCAGGGTGGGGGTAGGTCGTCACCAATCAATTCCTAATACCAGCTATCAATGTAAAAGGACTTGGCCGGTGGATAGTGCTAAGGAACTTAGACAACACCCGCTTGAGTAGCTACTGACTAGGTTTTGGGTTGGCCCATAAGGAATGGCGTTTTTTCTCACTCGAATATATCGCGCCAAAGATGAAAAGTTTTGCCACCAAGTTTTATACTGATTGCAAAGAACTCCTTACACAGTGCAACCCTCCTGACTTTTCTAAAAATTCTCTTTCCCCTAATATTTAATGCTCAAATTGGAGTGTCAGGTCAACGAAATTGAGCATTTTCGATAGCCTCTTTTTTACCTCTAATCAAAAAGCTAAAAACGGCACAGGCTCAGTTGCTAAGTACATGGCCAAGAGGCTATGTCTCTTAGGAATGCTTACAACGGCGCAACGGTGCAAATTATTCAAAATTTCAACTTCGACCTCACAGGCAAGCATCGAACCTAATGCCCTATTGAATCCAGCTGAGAGCACCGTCCTTAAAGCTGATGGTGCAGATTACTTTCAACTCTGCCAATGCGAAAGAAGATGCCACCCACACTCCTTCAAAGCGGCCTCCATCTTCTCGAAGAAGGAGTGCGAGCCAACGCAGCGACATCGAAAGTTGAACTGCAGAAGCATGACTACGCCGAAGAACTTGAAAGTCTGACCGAACTCCGTCCAGGAGAGCTAGAGAGCTGCAAAGTGTATTGGTCTGAGGCCTTGGATTACACTTCGATGCTGCAGACACGCATAGGCAGACACGCATAGAAGCTTT